TCTGCCTGCAATGCAAGAGACCCTGGTTTAATCCCTGGGTCAGGCAGATCCCCTGGAAAAAGCAATGGTTACCCACCCCAGTATTCTTATCTGGGGTGTTCCGTGGAGAGAGGAGCCTGGCAGGCTCCAGTCCCTGGGGCCGCAGAGTTGAACAGGACCGAGTGGCTGCACTCTGGGGCTTCCCTGGTGGTTCAGGAGCTAAAGAATCTGCCTGCAGTGACGTGTAGACGGTACTGCATGTAAAATAGAGAGCTGTGGGGACCTGCTCTAGAGCACGGGGAGCTCAGCTTGCTGATGACCTAGACACGTGGAAAGGAGCCTGCAGAGGGAGGTGAGACATGCATATATGTAGCTGACGCATGTTTTTGTGTACCAGAAACTAGCATCATAAAGCAATTATACTCCAGCTTAAAAAATAAAAACAACAAAAAAATACAAGTGCACTCCTACGTACAGATCCCGCAGAAATAGGTACCGAGGGGTCCTCAAAATATTTTCAGAGAATATTCACAGTTCAGAGAATATTCACAGAAACATAATTCATAATAGCCCCAAACCGGAAATAGCCCAAAGGTCTTCCAATAGTAAAATGGACACTTATGTTGTAATATAATCGCAAAATGAAATTCTACTCAGCCAAGCAGGAGAATGATCTGTCTCTATAGGAAACAGCATGGAAGGGTTTCACAAAGTGGTGGGCAGATGTTCAAAAGCTGACATGCTGTAAGTTGCCGTCTCTATAAAACCCAAATGGCAAAACTCTACCTCAAGGACAGAAGTCGGAATGGTGATCTCTGAAGGTCGGAGAGGAGGTGACAGACTTTGGGGTGTTGGCGAGATTGGGATGCTGAGATTGGGGAGGTGATTTCAGGAGGGGGTCCACTTTGTGAAAACATATCACCAGGCTGTGCCCTTATGATTCTTAGTATTATTGCACATATATCATAATCCTTCTCCAAGGCTGCAAAAGAAAATAGCTGTATTTCTGAAGGAAGTGTAAATGTCCTGTTTCACGTCTTAAGTTTAGATGTTTATGTTAGAAAACAACTCGAAAATGACGAAGCAATATGGCAGCCAAACCAAACACGTGCAGGCTCTCTGGTGGTCTCCTAGAGCAGGAGCGTCTTCAGAGCAATATCTCCTGGTTCGGGATTCAAAGGGCAAAAGGATTCTTAAGTTCTTCTCTTGACAGGTTGCCGTGCCTTTAACAAAGCACCCTGGGAGGTTCCTCTCTGCAGAAGCTGGAGGATGGAGGGATCCCTCCAGGTGTCAGTGAGGAGTGCACCATGACTTCCTCGGGATGCTCGGCTCAGTCATTCGGGACCCACACTTTCCTTGGCTCCAGGATCATTGTGGATGGTGACTGCAGTGGATGCATGAGTGCTGCATTCATGCGTGCAAACATTAAAAGGTGCTTGCTCCTTGGAAGAAAAGCTATGACAAGCCTAGACAGTGTATTTAAAAGCAGAGACATCACTTTGCCCACAAAGGTCTGTCTAGTCAAGGCTATGGTTTTCCAGTAGTCATGTATGGAGGTGAGAGCTGGACCATAAAGAAGGCTGAGTGCTGAAGAATTGATGCTTTTGAACTGTGATGTTGGAGAAGACTCTTGAGAGTCCCTTGGACTGCAAGGAGATCCAACCAGTCCATCCTAAAGGAAATCCGTCCTGAATATTCATTGGAAGGACTGATGCTGAAACGCCTCTACTTTGGCCACCTGATGCAAAGAGCGAACTCACTGGAAAAGATCTTTCCCTGATGCTGGGAAAGACTGAGGGCAGGAGGAGAAGGGGATGACAGAGGATGAGAGGGTTGGGTGGCATCACTGACTCGATGGACATGAATTTGAGCAAACTCTGGGAGATAGGGAAGGACAGGGGAGCCTGGCGTGCTGCAGTCCACAGGGTCGCAAAGAGTCAGACACGAGTGAGCGACTGAACAACAGCTGGGTGGTTATTCAGCATCACGAGTCTTGAATTTGGATTCAAGACAGAAGAATATCTGGCCTGGGCCCATATACTTAAGCCTTAGAAATTTTCTTTGGTAGGAAATCCCAAGATAATATCTTTTTCTGCTAAAATTAATTGCAAGAAAAAGAGAGAAGGGTGAACCTGGGCAGGAGCACTGACTGTTGCAGTGAATTTCCCATGCAGATCTCTGTATCTACCTGACCTTTCTGTGAATTTATTTTTTGTTGGCGTATATTTGATTGACATATGTTGTGTTAATTTCTGCTGTACTCAGCAGTGACTCAGTTATGCATCTATACATTCTTTTCCAGATTCTTTTCCATGATGGTTTATCACAGGATATTGAATACAGTTCCCTGTGCTGTACGGTAGGACCCTGTGGTTTATCCACCTACATCCATCTATATCCTAGCTTGCATCTGCTAATCCCAGATTCCACCCCACCGCTCTCCCATCGCCCTTCCCCTTGGCAACCATAAGTCTATTCTCTGTGTCCCTGATTCTGTTTCTGTTCCATAGATCAGCTCATTTGTGTCATATTTTAGATTCCACATAGAAGTAATGTCACATGGTATTTGTCTTTCTCTTTCCGATTTAATTCTACTTCCTGATGGCTACATAAGCTTTAATTCAACCAATGTCTGATTTTCCTCACAATTTCACTTACAAGGAAGAGAAGAGTCACATTTTAATGCTGGGTTGAGCGGAAAGTAAAAAAATGTAAAAGTATTTTATGTGGTTGAATTCCACATCTGCTGACAAAATATGCTAAGTCATTTAAAAAGCAAAACGCTGCAAGCTGTAGATTACAAGAGTTTATGGCCCAAACCTATCATTATAGTATTATCTTTATTTAACCTGTGCATGTTTCAGTTAAGACGCTTCAGTTGTGTCTGACTCTGCAACCCTATGAATTATAGTCCACCAGGCTCCTCTGTCCGTGGGATTCTCCAGGCAAGAATCCTGGAGTGGGTTGCCATGCCCTCCTCCAGGGGATCTTCCCCACCAGGGATCAAACCTGCATTTCTTACATTTCTTGCATCAGCAAGAGGGTCCTTTACCATTAGCTCCACTTGGGAAGCCCTTATTTAACCCAGGTCCTAAGAAATATTTAATGTATAACTTCATATATATATAGCATTGAAGTAAACAAATTCTTTTTGAAATAAAAAAACATATTTATGATTTCAGATACTTTACATCACAAACTAACACACATACACACACTACTTTATAATGTTTTATCATTTATGCACCTAATTTTTTTTATCATTTTAGTCTTTTTAAATTGAAGTATGATTGATTTACAATATTGTGTTAATTTCTATACAGCAGAGTGACTCAATTGTAAACATATATACATTTTTTTTCATACTCTTTTCCATTATGGTTTATCACAGGATATTGAATATCATTCGCTTTGTGCACCTAATTTTTATGACAACATTCAGTGTTACAGAGAGAAACCAAAAGATGAATGGTATAAGACAAACAATTCAAAAATGAGGCAAAGGCACTGACGTTTTTTATTTGGCAATCCAACTAGCAGCAGCACTAAGAATCTCTCTAACTTCCTTCTAGTATCGAAACTTCTACCCCACCTATCACTTCTTTTTTCATTATAATATTGTAAAACAAATAAATTGCAGAACATATTTTATTTTAACCCCAAAGCTGAAACTATAGGAATCAGAATGCTGAACAAAGTTTAATTTTAGACATGAAATACCAACAAGTTTGTTTTGAAAAAATACCTTTAAAAATATTTTAATGTAAACTGGGGAAAGCTAGTGTAGACGAGGGTCTGTTTTTCCATCGGTTTAAACAATGAAGTGAACTGTGTAAACTGATGACATTTTAAAAAGATAAGTGAAACAAATGATGTTATAAAAGATAAGTATTATGATATTCTCAAAAATGGTTCTTTATAAACTGAAAATCAGGACAATGTCTTTTGGCATGTGATAATGGGGTCACAAAGAGTCAGACACAACTCAGTGACTGAACAATAACAACAACAACAGTCTTTAGAATAACACATGGTATATGCCCTACTCAGGATGCCAAGAACTTTAATTAATCCTCAACTTCTGTAAAGCTATTAACATGAGTATTTTTTAAAGGCTGGGATATGTGAACTACAATAGCAGCAGTTTAAAACAGAAGAAAGGAAGTATAGGGAGATGATATTACATTATTACGACTGTATTAAGTTCTATGGCAGATTTTATTTTTATGAAAAACCACGAGGGTTACTTTTTTCAATGAACGTTTACATGCATGAGTTGAAATTATATTAAAAGTTTCTGAAGTAACAGAAATTAGCTGTAAAAAATACTCTGAAGTGTAGGCACATGAGAGAATGATTTCCCTTCTGTGAAACATGTCACAGAGTGTTCCAGCAGGTAACGTATAATACTAGAGCTAGAACTGCAAACTTGAAATAAACCTAAAAGACTTAAATAGTACCAGTATCCTATTTTGAGTCCGATTATCTAATATGATATTTAAATTTAAACTTTTAGTTACTTTTTCATGTACAGAATGCAAGATTTCTCTACCTTTTTTTTTTCATTTCCTCAGTATTAATAGAAGAGGGTATTTAACATAAAAATAGAGGATAAATCCTGAGATTTCCCCCCAGATGTCTTCATGTCCTACAGTCACAGGCTCTGTTGCACAGCAAACAGTGGAATATTATTTTGGAAGAAACGATTACCGCCCCTTTGAATCTTGTGCTTCTTCCAAGGCAAGAAGCACTAAGTTGTTCAACGTGGCATTATAGTGTAAGTCTTCCTAATTCTATTTTTCCGTAAATGGGCTCTAGTTCTCGTAATTCACATGACACCCTTTGGCTGTGGTTGTCTGTTAAATTTCCTGTTTTGGTCCAGTTGCAGCAAACCAAACAAACAGCTCCCAGAAAAGGCTATGGTAACTACTTTGTTTTCCTTCTGGTATTTCCAGTTAAGTGCTTTCTCTCTAGAGGCACAGAGAAGGGAAGAAAAGAGCCACACGCAAGGTGTGAGCAGGTCACAGAAGCTTCAGGGCTCCAAAAAACGTGCCGTCTCCATCTCGGGATATCTTAGCATCTTCCCGGGGTATTGCCAGTTGGAGTTCATCTCCTTCCTCCAGCTTCGCGATGCCTGCAGAGGGATGATGGGCAACAACTTGAAGCCGTTGTGCAGGTAAAGAAGAGGGGAGGGCAGAACGTTAAAGACAACGACTTGGTTTTGGGAAAAACATTTCACACAGGCATTCACTTTTCACATTACAGCAGTGGGTTTCTAGACCAGTTATTATTCTATTTGCCTAAAATTTTTTTTAAAAAATAGTAAAAGAAATGAGCAGAAGGAGTTATAACAGACACACGAATGTGTGGGGTCGGCCAACATGTTTGCATGGTTTTTTCTGCAAGATGTTATGGAGAAGCTTGAGGGAACTTTATGTCAACCCAATATCACCTACTGTTGATAGAACAGAGCATCCAAATATGAACCAAAAGTCTAACTATAAGAAAAAAAGTTTAGTAAATCATAGCACATACCAAGATGGAATATTATAAAGTTAAAAGTGGCTTTGCTTCACTTCACTGACAAGGGAAACTTTAAAAAATAATGTTAAATAAAAATACAAAAATATGCATACACACACACTGCATAGCCCTAAATATGCTTTCAAATGTGCATATAATGTGTGAATTATTAGAAAGTAAAAAACAAAACACTACTTATTAACAAAACACATCTGCTAACAGAGTCTTTCTGTAGAGTCCAGACTATGGAATTAGGAGTCACTCAGATTGCTTTTTATAGTCCTTTATATTTTGTGTTTCCTTAAATGACCATGACTTGTCTTTATAATCAAAAGTAACAAGATAATTAGCTTCTCAGAACTGATCAATTAATCTGCATGTGCCTAATTTACAATAAGGTAGCCGGTGATTCAGGAATACAAAATGCAACTCAGGAACTACACTCAGTATATCAAGTCATTCCTGACCCCATTTTAAAAGAAAAACATGAAGAAAAAAATTAAGAGGAGGAGAGGCAGAGAAGAAAACCAAGGAACAAACAAACAACATATTGACACAACTAAATTGTCAAACGTTCAACTAATAATTTTAAAAGCAGTTGCCCTGTTTCATGAGCAAGCTATGAAAATGTATTTACAGAAACACATCTACCTTAACCTCAATTCCACTGTCAAGCCCCAGACACCTGGGTTTCCTCCAACTACAGCCAGTGAGTGTTTATTCACTGAACATTTCAGATATTCCAGACACCTTCACAGACATGTATGGGGCAGTGATCAGAATGATCAAAGAGTCTGTCTTCCAGGATCTTGTTTTTTGATAACAGACCAAGACAGACAGTAACAGAACTTAGATATTATTAAGGGTGAAGTGCACTCTTTCAGGATTCCCATGGCATTTGATGATTACATTAAGTTGTTAAAAAAAAAAAAGATTGAAGAGATTTGTTGAATGGATTAGTCATAGTCACAGATATTCAAGATAATCTAATAATTTGACAAAGGCTATAGATCACAGATTATTTGGTAACAGTAACTCTCAAAGTCGGTGTGAATTAGCTACTTTTCAAAGTAGGTCCTACTTAAGATTTCAACACTGAGTTACTGGCTATTTCAGTTCTTCCAGATGGTAGCAATTGCTAATTTGTTAATGACATAATGAATTAAGATTCAGTTTCATGTACAAGAAAGGTTCCTTGGTGTGATACTGGGCTCTTCAAATGGACCATTTTAATTTTTTTCAGATTATTATGGAAACACTTTATACACCAATGTGTAGCTTTTAATGATTTTAAAACAAATTTGCTCTAGAACAGATAGAAACTGAAAACCTGAAATTTCCTAGAGAACCCTTTTTGTAAGTGATGCTAAGCTATTAGCACTGAGAAATATCTTTAAGGTCAAGTTATTTATTCTTAAAAAATAAGGCTAGAAAGTAACATGGAGGAGCTGATGATCAGAAAAATTTATAAAGGAGTGTGTTGTAAAGCTCTAAGTGCTAATTAATGTAAATAAACAACAGGCTGAAGTGACCTCACCTCATTTATAGATATTTTGCAACAAGAAATGCTGGTTACCACAGGCTGCAGGGTAACAGTTCTCTATGAAAATTAGGGAATTCAAATCTGAGCAAACTTCCTCAACACCCCGTCAAAGCTATTTATGGCTGCAGGTCCAGGATGACCAGCGTCTCTGCTATCCTTTCTGTCTTGATTCCTTGTGCATTTGTCAGTAAGTGCCTTTGGAATATACAGCTTCAGATCACACAGCCAACCCCCACTGCATGTTCCACACTGTCATTCACGCTGTCTGGAAGGGAGGACCTTCCTTGGGGTCAGGAGTGGAGTTGTCACAGCCACCAGAGAGAAATAAATGTGTTTAAGGCAACTGTTTTTTCAAGTACTGGCCTTGGTTAGTTTGAAATTACCCCCAAATGAAATGAAGGCTTTGACGGCAATTCATTTGGCTGAGACGGTTGGATGACATCACTGACTCAGTGGACATGAATTTGAGCAAATGCCGGGATATTAGTGAAGGACAGGGGAGGCTGGCGTGCTGCAGTCCATGGGTTCCAAAGAGTAAGACATGGCTTAGCAGCTGAACAACAACAACGGATGGCAATTACAGCCCCAACAGACCTGAAATGAAGACAGCTCGCACGTTCCCTTTTCTCTCCAGTCCTCTGGCCCTGAGTTGAAAAGCACCCTCACTCCTACCCTTTCGCATCCCAACCGTATCCATCTGGTGGCCAGTGACCCCAGAAGAGAACAGTGCCTCTGGACCTGACATTCAAAACTGGCCAAAGGGCACTTCTTCCACAGGAGGGAGGTAAAGAAGGGGCGAGATTCCCTGACTCCCGCTCAGGGCAGACTGGCTGATTGAAACCAAGCCTGGAGTTGACCAGCTGGGCAGCCCTGGACAAGGTGCCTACCTCTGTGTCTCAGGCCCCACCCCCCTTCCTCAAGGAGCATTAGAGCAGGGAGCACGGGTGGATGTGCCTGGCATAGGTCATCATTCTCTTACGACGCAAGCACTCTTATCACAGCTTCAAGAAAACACAGCTCATTCTAGAGTGGATCACTGTGAAGCTACAGCCCTTTCTAAATGTATATAAAAATGATAGACTTATTATTAATTATTTAGCTAATAATTAAATTAAAATCTAAAGTAATGGTTGCATCTGTTTCTATCAAAACAGACTAACTTATCATTCGAAATCACAAAAACCGCACAGTATACTGAGGAATGTCTTTCTGTCTATGTATATAGAACTATTATTTACCAGCTGAGTAACAGGAATTATTGGGTAGTGTTTCAGGCATGTTTTGAATACATCGAAACAAAGTCACCAGACTCAGTTCGTCCCCAAAGACATGGACTTTTTTCCTCTGTATTAGGTGTCCCATGGCAAACGTGTTATCGGTGTATAAAACCTGGGGAACAAACCAAAGAACTCTGTCAGAAGTCAGCACGAAATGGGGGCATCGGACGGCGGCGGTGGGCGCAGGGTCGAACCTACCTGACCGTAGATAAAGAAGTAGCCTGTCTCTTTGACCAAAATCTTATTCTCTTTTTCTTCTAGGGCTCTTCCTCTTTTAAAGCTGAGAAGCCAAGGAACAAAGGTGTATGCTCCTGCAATGAAGAGGACGGTTTTTAAGGAAGAAAACCACTGAGAAACGCAGTTCTTCGCCTCCACTTGAAACAGAGCAGGACTCTATGACGCTTGCCCCCCGACCACGTCCTCTGCCTGCCTTTTTTCTGCGGAAGACTTTCATCAAAGAATAAGTTTAATCAGAGCAGTGAGAAATGCTGCAACAGAGGAGAACAGTCTAAGGAGACTAAATAATAATAGTCATTAGGACCGTGAAGGACCTTTAGCTCTTTCTCAAGGGCTGTAGATGGCATTCTGAGCCACATCCTGTGAGCTGTCTTATAGACACTGAAACCCCGGGTGGAGGATGACCAGGCTGAAGCAGGACACGAGCTGCCCCAGTTCCGAGAACTGACCACAGAGAAATGGGACAGGTGCGCCCGGGACTGAAGACTGTGCCTGAAACGACCAGGAAGACGCTGGTCAGACCGCTGAGGACCACTCTGCGGATGCCTGTCAGAGACGGCTGCGCTGTTTCTGCATGTAGCCCCCACCCTGACTCTGTCTATAAAAGCTCTCACCCCCGTTTGTCAGGGAAGGGGGGAGTGGACAGATGTCCACCTCTCTTCCCCACAAGTTGCCAGCATCTGAAATAAGGCAAACTTTCCTTTCCACCAACTGGCTTGGTTTTTGGCTTTTGAGCGGTGAGCAGCCGGACCTGACACATATACCTTTTGATAACATGCTTAGTTACTAACCTAAGTCTGAAACTTAGAGGAGACGTTCATCTTCTAAAAAAATGACAATCCTCCGGCGGTTTCGCAGCATCATTTACATACTCACCCAGGCCAGCTATCAGATACAGGAACTTGAAAGCAAGCACTTCATATGTAATGTCTGGGGTTTTGATTCCTTCTGTATTTTAGCAACTTTCATAATAATGTCTAGTCTGGATTGGGAGAGTTTGAGGCCAAAGAAAGGTCTCTGAATAACACACCGATAGAGATTTGCAGTTTCTCTTTGATTCTGTTGGGGAGGAAGAAAATTTTCCTCTACCCTTCTTTGGCAGGGGGCAGAGGTGGTAGAAAGGAGAGATGAGGCAGCAAGGGGGGGGGGGCCCTACAGCTCACCCCTCCTCTCCTAAGTCCCCACACAGGGAGCAGTCCGATCCCCCCAACTTTCTGTTCCCAAAGATGGTCTCTGAGAAACCACTTCCTCTTGTGAAAACCATCTGGTGCCACCGTGGGTAACAACAGTCCGCCTATAAAGACTCCCCCAGTTACACAGAACAGAGGTATCCTCGTCATCACCTGTTTTCATACTACATTATTGTGGGGAAAAGATTATAATGATGTAGCTTTAAATTCTGTTTAGAGATCATGTGCCCACAGCATTCTTTTAACGAAGGGTTCTGAAAACACGATGAAGAATTAATATCAGGGTTGTTATTATTAAAAATTATAAATACAAGCTGATGACTGAAGGCAATTATTTTCACGTTTTATTTGACACTCTGACCACAGAGGGCTTCCTTTCCCCCTTCAGAGCCACACATATCTTAGATTCCAACTTCTCTGAACTTGGGGACTGTTCATGTTTAGTTCCCTGCTGTTTCCTCAGGGCCTTAACTGATGCCTGACCCAAACCAAATGCAGCAAATATGTATTTAAAGAAATCCTAAGCATGGTACTATGCAATTAGTCACTAGCAGTCCATGCTTTAAAAGCATCTTACTACCTGGTTGTTGAATCTCTGGGAAATGAAACACTCTCCATCAGAGAGGTAATATGAAATCTTGAAGTGAAACACGTATTTTTAAGTCTGCATGTTTATATTCTGACTAGACATATTTATCGACTATAAATTTGTTTACAATACTTTACATTGATCCCCCATTTCTCTATACCATACTTATACCTATAAAGTTAGCCAGTTCTTACCAAATCTCACTGCTATATTGTCAGAAGAGAAAGAGAAGCAAGTCCTTATTAGACTTATATTCTTATTTTCTCTTTTATTTTTGGCATTTCATCTTATCTTGCTGGAAATATTCTTTTTAATGAGAGAGAATCATTTACTTGTTTTTATGTACTGTGTACATTTCTCCCCCAACCCTGCCCACATACAAGAGAGCATGCACACATACACACACACACGGATTACACTCCATCCAGTGTAAGTGGTAAAGAATCCACCTGCCAATGCAGGAGACGCAAGAGATGTGGGTTCGATCCCTGAGTTGGGAAGATGCCTTGGTGTAGGGGATGGCAACTCACTCCAGTATTCTTGCTCGTAAAATTCCAAGGACAGAGGAGCCTGGTAGGCTACAGTCCATGGGGCTGTAAAGAGTCAGACACAGCTGAGCACGCATAGATCCATGTTGCTGACATTGAGGCCAAGCCAACGACTCTCCCACAGGGACAGCTGGAAACCCAGAGGCCAAGAATGGAGCCAAGCACACAGCGTGCACTCCATCAATTTGTGCTGCTAAGTGAATTTTAAATTTAAGAAAATACACTAAAAAATCAATTAAAATGTAAAGTAATTATAAACTTAAGCATACATAATATGTTTCTACACATTAAAACTTACTTAGGTTTTTTTTTTGCATGCTAGTTAGACCACGGATAGATACATGCTAACAAGAAAACATGCACTAAATGCCTATTCTCTAGAAAGCTTCTCTAAGCTAATATGAATCACTCCTTACAGTAGATATTTAAGAATGTGGAAAGGAAAGATTTCAATGACCCCATATTCTTGCACCTCCTCCTCGTACATAGAAAAGCACTAAAATCGTTGAATTTAGATGTCTTTTCTTTGTTTCTTTGTGATTAGCAGTAATCTTTTGTTATTAAAAAAAATTACATAAATCCAGGCTTCTCCCTTCCTTTGAAATAGTTTCTCAGAGCTGTCTGAGAGGCTGTTTTCTGGGCTATAGTCCTCAGTAAGACACTGAATAAACTCAACTCACAGTTCTTATATTGTGGGGTTTCATTTCAGTCAATGAAGGTAAATACTAGGAGCATTAATGCTTAATTTTGTTTTCAACAGCTAAAATACGAATATATTTTGGTATATAAAGTGTGAACTTCCCAGCTCCACTCAGCTTTAAATACTTGATGTATTTAAATGTCTTTGAAAACTTAACAAGTTACTGTGTACCTTAATATGCAAAATTAAATTAAAATGACAGTATTCAAATATAAAAATAATTCACATGTATTTCTGAAAATGCCTGCTTTTAAGAGAGTAGATCTTTCCTATTCTGATATATGTGAAAGACTTGTAGATAAATTTTAGGACAATACATTTTTATAGGAAAATCAGATCTACTTTGCTAATGTTTGTTTTTTATTCTATTTTATGAAAAGGAAACATCCTCCCAATTATTTATACTTCCAGTGTTACTTCCTTAAATAATTAACCATAAAGGCTTCAGACAGCAGCTGTCAATCACAGCTATCACACTTGGCTACTTCTCCTGATTTTCTATTTTATTATCTTAAAATTCCTGGAAATAGTTTTAAAGGAGAAGATACTGATAATATTTTTGAAGACAGATTAAGTGAGCCAAGTCAAGAAACAGGGACACATACATCTGGCAGTGAAATCCACAGTAGGCATAGGACTTTGTAGCTGAGGCAGGACTAGGAAAACCCACAGAAAAAGAGATCAGACAGGCAGAGCCACGCAGCCTGAGCCACCAGAAAGGAGACGGGAGGCCCCGCAGGGCTGCGTGCAGTCGAGAAAAATGACTACGTCTGTTTTAGAAACACCGCCGTGTCACTCCCAGTTGAGAAAAGTGCAAAACTGGAGGCAAGGAAACCAGCCGAGGTGAGAGATGATGGGGGTTTGTACCAGGAGGGTGAAGTGGAAATGAAGAGAAACAGATCAGCTCAAATGATATATATGAGGAATCACCAAAAAGTTTTGAGCTTAATGCACTGGCTTCAAGGAAGCAGTCAGGAATGACACCCAGAATTCTAGACTGAACAACTAAAGGCACAGTCAGCATACTTACTGCAACAGGGGATACAGGAAGAGGACCAGATGTAGGGGAAAAGTCTAGAGCTCATGCTGAGATGTCACCAAGATCCTCGGGAAGAGGCGTTCAATGGACAGAGGTATAAATAGGCTTGGATCTCAGGAAAGTCTGCTGGACTAACGGTCTCCATTGCGGCCATCACACATGGCTGTTAAGTGACGACATGGAGGATTTAAGGCTGGGAAGAAACCAGAATGAAGATAAGGGGGCTGTGTCAGAGGTCTGAAAAACACCCACAGTGAGGGAACCTTTTTAAAAGTTTAAAAAAAGCAGTGGGTAAAAAAGCAAGGAACATGGCTGCAGAAACCGACCAGGAAGAGCACGTGTTCTGAAAAGAGGGGAGGATTTCCCTGATGGTCCAGTGGCTAAGAATCCGCCTGTCAGTGCAGGGGACACGGATTCGACCCCGGGCCCAGGAGGATCCCACACGCTGAGGGGCAATGAGGCCCGTGCGCCACGACCACCGAGCCCGCACCCTGGACCCTGTGCTCTGGAAGGAGAAGTCACCTCCGTGAAAAGGCTGCACACCGCAACGGGGGAGCAGACCCCTCTCGCCGCAGCTGGAGAAAGGCCGCACGCAGCAATGGAGACCCAGGGCAGCCCAAAATAAAAGCCAGCAGTCAAATCTCTTTAATAAAAGGAGGGACTTATCAAGTGTCAAATTCTACTGTGGGATTAAATCTCATCACTGCCTCTATGAAATCATTATGTTGAAAAACCGAAAGAGACTTCCGCTATCAACCTGACCGTGGGAATCGCCTCTCTCCTTTTCCACCTCCCGTAAACCCTTGCAAGAAACAGATTGATGTCTGTGATCTGATATAGACTGATGTCCACATCCTCCAAAATAACTCCAAGGGAGGCCGGAAGCCACAAAGGTCACGCCGGAGCTGAGCGTAAAAGTCAGGAGGAGAAGCCGAGGAAATGGTTAAGGCCCGGGAGGCAGCAAAGTTCACAGAGAGTAAGCAAAAGATCAACTCACGGAAGGCGGCGAGTCTCCCGTACACATGCAAGAATCTACAGACAATACCGTGTCAGCTGCCAGCTAAGAGGATTCGGGGAATTAGGAGGGAAAAAAGCTCACTTAGAAGAACATAAAAGTTTCAGAAGGGAAAAATAGGCTCTGCACAAAACAAAGTGAGAGGGAAACAAAGAAAGCATTAAGACTTTGAGAACAGTTGTAGCAGCATAGGAAATTAAAAAACAGGTAAAGAAGTAACGGCGCAAGAACTTCTCTGGGGGTCCAGTGGCTAAGACCGTGCTCCCGATGCAGGGGGCCCAGGTTCAATCCCCGGACGGGGAACTGGATCCCGCATGCCACAGCTTAGAGCCCGCAGGCTGCAACTGAAGATCCCGCGTGCTGCATTGAAGACAGGGGACCCTACATTCCGCAATTAAGATCCGGCACAGCCAAAAAAAAATCACCAGCATATACATAATTAGAACCCAAAGAGACATAACTAAAGCAAGAAAAATTCAAGCAGAACAACCACTTGGCACTATTGCAGTCTTAAAAGGCCCATTATGTGTCAGGGAAAGTTGATTCAGAGGAGCATCATTAATTTCTTATTACAGCTGTAACAAATTACCACACACAGTGGCTTAAAACAACACACATTCATCATCTCTCATTTCAAACATCAGAAGTCTCACTGGGCGAAAGTCAAGCTGCTGGCAAGTACGTGCTCCTTCTGAACGCTGGGGTGTCCAGCCCTTGGCTCCCCCAGCTTCTATGCTTGGCCTGCTTTCCTGGGCTTGCGGCCCCCCGGCCCCACAGGCAGCCGTCTCATCACTCTGAATTCTCCCCTCCTCTGCCTCTGACCCCCTAAGCCCCTGGAGAAGGGCCTCCGTGGTTATACTGGGCCCACCCAAGTCCAGAGCACGGGGTTGGTGGAGGTCTGGGAGATTAGATGGGGATCTCTGCCTGCCGCACTCAGTCGTGACTGATTCTTTGCAACCCCAGGGACTGGAGCCCGCCAGGCCTCTCTGTAGGTGAGATTTCCCGGGCAAGAATATTGGAGTGGGTAGCCATTCCTTTCTCCAGGGCGTCTTCCTGACCCAGGGATTGAACCTGGGTCTCCTGTATTGGCAGGCAGAGTCTTTACCACTAGCGCCCCCTGGAAACACCCAAGTCATCCAGGATAATACGCCCCAATTCCTTATTTTAATCATATTTTCAAAGTCCCTTTTGCCAGATAAAGCAATAAACTTACAGGTTTCAGGGATTATGGTGTGGACACATTTGAGGAAATATTTTTCTACCTACCATAATAGTTGACATTCAATATAAAACAAAATAAGTATTGCATTTTTAAGGTAAATAATTCTTTGTGTAACCAGGCAATGTGTGTGCTAAGTGGCTTTGCTTCAGTCGTGTCCAACTCTTTGCGACCCTGTAGACTGTAACCCACCAGACTCCTCTGTCCATGGGATTCTCCAGGTGAGAACATGGAGTGGGTTGCCATGCCCGCCTCCAGGGGATCTTCCCCACCCGGGGATCCAACCCGCCTTTCTTTTATCTCCTGCATTGGCGGGCAGGGTCTTTACTGCTAGCGCCACCCGGGAAGCCCCAACGAAGCGGTATCTTGAGACAAATGACAGAAAAAGCACAGCATACCAGATTTCAAGGATCCAGTCAAGCAGTACTGCAGAAACGTCCACACACACTAACATTTATTTACACGCTCGAGGTTTACTGGAGTCAAACTCATCACATGGCAAGGGTCCAGATAAACCCCAGGACCCCCCAGGTAGGCTCAGCGCGGAGCGGCCACCACGCCGGGAGACCACGGATCTGTGCAGCGCCAGCTCGCAGGGGAGGAGCAGCCGCCTGCTTTAGTGTGTGACGGACAGCAGTTCTGGTTTTGGCCAAATGTGTAAGACAACACTTTTCCAAGTTAGAATTTCTCATTGGTCCTTCGAATCTTCTTCAGGCTCTATTTTTATTCTTAGGAGACAACTTGCTACCTAATAAAAGTTGCAAACATTGGACTTTGGAAAATGTGAAACAAGTAATAATCGAATTTCAAGTATTTTAGTATTCGGGTTACATTTACGATAAAGTCACAGTGAAAAATACAGATGCAAGATAGATTTTACTTGTTCATTTGCTTGTTTTCTGTTTTCCCCTCATAGAAGGTAAATTCTGTGAAAATGGGGACTCACATATGCATTATTCACTGATAAGCCCCAGTGTCCACACTGTAACTGGAAATTGTATGTTTTTAACCAGTACATGTAATCTATAAAGTAATCATTTCACACTGAAGATTTATCACAAAAATGTTACATTTATTTGTACATGTTATATACTTCTTGATAAATAATTAATATAAATGTCTATATGTTCAGTTTTATCTTCATCCTATCAAAATATTCAATGACCTAATATAATATAACAGGGGAATGAATACTTCTGAAGATGATCTTGAGGCATTATAGAAGCCAAAATCATTTCTAAATAAAAAGCTGACTTTGATTTAGCATTAATTTTGCTTTATCACATGCTAATTATTTAAAATTTCTTAGTATTAGTGTCCTAAAGGTAATTCTCTTTGTTAGGTTATTATAGGGGCCTGAATAAATTGGGGAATAAATCCCAATCATTTTAAATGAATTTATTATCTTAAATCTGATTATAAGAAGTCTTGAGGCAGATCATTGATCTGAGAGGGAGTTCAAATACAATTTTGGGGCATGAAATGTACAGGTAATTGGACTGAACTGAATTCTTAAGTGGAAAAGTTCCTGTGAATACTTGATTACCTTTTCGTATAGTAGGCGTGTCACTGTCTGCAATCAACTGCAAGCAGTCTTGAGTGACTGAAAAGCAAAAATACATCATCTTAGTTACATGAATAGAAATAGTAAGGAAACAAAGACGGCCAAGAATACAAACCTACAAACCCACTCTTCCAATGGCCCCTAATCAATTATATCAACACTTTCTGCCCTGCCTACATGCTGTCCTTAAAATTACTTTAGGAAATATGCCCACAGATTTCAATATAACTTGTACTTGAAATGCAATATGTATATCCTTGAAGTTCAAGTTTTAGAAAAACTCTATGCTATTGAAATATAGTACTTTAAAAATTATTTTGCCAACAAGTGAAGTCGTGTCTGACTCTTTGTAACCCCATGGACTGTTGCCCACCAGGCTCCTCCATCTATGGAATTTTCTAGGCAAGAGTACTGGAGTGGGTTGCCATTTCCTTCTCCAGGGGATCTTCCCGACCCAGGGATCAAACCTGGGCCTCCCCCATTGCAGGCAGATGGTTTACCCTCTGAGCCACCAGGGAATCCCATCTAAACAATTTAGCTGAACTTATTCTAAAACATATGCCTGTAGAGAAAGAAAGTTTAGCTACTGTCATTTCTTCTCCAATTCCCTCAAATATATGAGCCAAATGATCAGATTACTCTAAAATGATTTTTTGTTTAAAAAAGAACATCTAGCATTAAATCATAACTCACTAGTACTGAAAATACCACTATTAACATTACTGAAAATAAAAATAATTGCTAACATTTATTGAGCTAGTACAAATCCAAACTTCACAAAAATCCTAAGAATTACATACTGGAAATGACATGTTGGAAAGTGTAAACAACTTGTCCAGTCCCCAGGGATAGAAAGTGACAGGGCCTGAATTTAATCATGCCTGTTTTACTCTGGAGCCAAAGTAAGGCTTTTGGTAAAATGTTTGGGACTAGAAAGAGAAGGAGAGCTATGACATCTTTTTAAGAGAAAATGGAAGATTTCCCTAGGCAGCTGCATTACCAGTAAAGCATCTGGGACACATCCACTCACATCTATTCACATTGCACATTGCATACAGAATATTCCACGGAGTGCACCAAAGAATATGCAGTATGAAGTCACTCATAGTCAGCTCTTTGAGACCCCATGGACTATGCAGTCCATGGAATTCTCCAGGCCAGAACACTGGAGAGGGTGGCCTTTCCCTTCTCCAGGGGATCTTCCCAACCCAGGGATCAAACCCAGGTCTCCCACATTTCAGGCGGATTCTTTACCAGCTGAGCCACCAGGAAAGCTCAAGAATACTGGAGTGGGGAGCCTATCCCTTCTCCAGCGGATCTTCCTGAGGCAGGAATCAAACCGGGGTCTCCTGCATTGCAGGCGATGCTTTACCAACTGAGCTATCAGGGAAGTCCAAAAGAATATATAGCTATTCTATTAAATGAAGACAGTGCCTTCAGGTTAAAAGCAAAATAGGTACTCTGTCTGTAGGAAAAGAAAGCACAGCAATATCTATGAAAAACATGGAATATGGAGCTAAGTGTGCCTATTTTAAATTAAGAAAATATTAGTTTAGATTATTTTATACCACGCCTCTTACTCAAAGTAATGCTTTAAAAACACGCTTCACAATGTATACGTTTTAAGAGCTCATTAACACAGTGGAGAGTTCCCATTGCAGATCATTAGCGGAAACCATGGAATAACAGATGTAATAATTACGATACTCTGAAGCTATGCAAATGCACAGGCCTAAATAGAACGCTGTTAAAGACAGTGATCACATAAGAAAATCTGCTAGGAAATTTTCTTTAGTGTTTAAAGCAGAACTGTAATGCTAAAAACTGCAATCCTTTTTAACCATAAGATGTTTCTAATATATTTTTATATTAATCTGATGGTTTGGATAGGAGCAGAACATTTTGGCTATCTTGTGGCTCTTTTTTTAAATTTCTTTTTATTGGAGTATAGTTGATTTACAATGTTCTGTTGGTTTCAGGTATATAGCAAAGTGAGTCAGTTATACATATGCTTCCCTGGTAACTCAGATGGTAAAGAATCTGAGAGAGTCAATTCCTAGGCAGGTTGATAAGAAGTCGGGGGTCCCCAAGGAGGAGATAGGGGTCTGGAATTCTCAAGGAGGAGGAAATGACAGACTTTTTTTTTTTTTTCCTCTACATTTCTTAGTCTTAGTCACATAAAACTTTTTTTTTTTCTTTAAGCCCGGAACTGATGATTACACAATTCAGTTTAAACTCTGTACTAGGGATTATATAACAACAGTGTATCCTGGTTGAGGACAGTTTCTCCTTCCTGAAAACCTTCTGACTAATCCTGATGTTTTAGCATGTATATTATGGGAGAGGGTCTGGTAGGATCCTTCTATTGTTAAGTTCTAATCCTGTTATCCTAAAATGTAAATTGTGGGAGTGGGTCTGGTAAAATTTTTACAACCTTGAGACATTCTTTTGATTCATTGTAATAACTAATTTAAAAAGTGTACAGCTCCCTTGCTAACACTCTATCCCCCTTCTGATGTCTACATCAGAAGTTTTCTCTCTCCCTTTTTATACTTTAATAAAACTCTGCTACACAAAAGCTCTTGAGTGATCAAGCCTGGTCCTTGGGCCCAAAGCTAAATCTTCTTCTTCGGAGATTACGAATCCAACATTGTTCACCGTAAACTATCAAATCCGCCTGCAATGCTGGAGACCTGGGTTCAGTCCCTGGGTGGGGAAGATCCTCTGGAGGAGGGCATGGCAACCCACTCCAGGATTCTTGCCTGGAGAATCCCATGGACAGAGGAGCCTGGCAGGCTGCAGTCCATGGGGTCGCACAGACACGACTAAGCAACTAACACATTCATGTTTTGCTCTTTTTTAGATGCTTTTCCCACACAGGCTATTGCAGAGTGATGAATAGAGTTCCCCGTGCTATACAGTGGTCCTTATTCGTTATCTGTTTACATATGGAAGTATTAGCAGTCAGTTGTGTCCCACTCTTGCGACCCCATGGACTGTAGCTCTCAAAGCTCCTCTGTTCCTGAAATTCTCCAGGCAAGAATACGAGTGTGGTAGCCATTCCCTTCTCCCAGGGGATTTTTCTGACCCAGAGATTGAACCCAGATCTCCTGCAGTGCAGGAGATTGTTTACCCTCTGAGCCACCAGAAAGAGAAAAGTGAAAGTGAAGTCGCTCAGTCCTGTCCAACTCTGCGACCCCATGGACTGTAACCCACTGGGTTCCTCCATCCAAGGAATTTTCCAGGCAAGAGTACTGGAGTGGGTGCCATTGCCTTCTCCAGGGGGTCTTCCCGAGCCACCAGGAAGCCCCTTATTTATACACAACAGTGTGTGTATGTCAACCCCAAACCCCCAGTTTATCCCACCACACCCTCCCTTGAAAACCATAAGTTTGTTTGCTATGTCTGAGACTCAATTTCTGTTTTGTAAATAGGATCATTTGTGCCTTTTTTTTTTAAAGCTGGAAAACAAGAGCAGGAGCGTCTGCGCAGCAGGGACATGGGACTCATTGCTGCAGTTGGAACAGCAGACCCTCGGCAACAGCACATGTGGACACGATCAGAACAGGCCGAACAGCTGTGAATACGGACAGCGTGGAAGAAGGGACCCTCGGAACATCCGAAGCCTCTCAAGACTGAAAAGCACAGTGTCTGCGGTTGCCATGTTACACCTACTTTTCTAGCAAACACCTCTTGAGGAATGAGGACACACAAGGGACCACGGTAAGTTCTGTGAGGGATGCAGGCACCAACTGGAGCATGCAAAACTCTAATGTTTCCTCCATACGGGAAAAGAAGAGGATGCTGACACAAGTCAAAGTCAAATTCCCAAAGTCTCCATCTTTCCTTTGCCATGGACATGCACACTGTAAAGGTTTCATGAGACGGTGCACCTGAAACACCTCGTAGCATACCTGGGACAAAATAATTTCGAAGTCAGTCCTGGTTATTAGTAGGACTAGCACGAGCATTATTGCTCTTAATGGTACTGAACCAAATAAACTGGGAGCACAATGGGAGGATGCTATGAGAGAAAGAAGGCCAAGGGAACAGATAAAGAGACCTAGGAAACACTAGAAATACTATTTCAGGGCTTCACTGGTGGCTTGGTGGTAAAGAATCCACCTGCTGAAACAGGAGTCATGGGTTTGATCCCTGATCTGGGAAGATCCTACGTGCCCCGGAGCAATTACGCCCATGCACCACGCTACTGGACCTGTGGTCCAGAGCCTAGCAATTACGACGACCAGGCCCACACGCCGCAACTACTGAATCCCAAGCACCCGAGAGCACACGCTCCGTAACAAGAGATGCCGCTGCAACGAGACGCCCACGCAGCGCAATGGAGAGTGGCCCCCACTCGCCGCAAGTAGGGAAAAGCCCATTCAGCAACGAAGACCCAGCATGGCCACAAATAAATAAATTCCTTAACAAAAAAGAAACACTATTTCGATGAGCCCTCTCCTTGACCTTTTCCATTAAACGCCTGTAGGAGATTTACCTCTGTTTAGACCGAAAGGGGTTTACCTAGTGAGTGATGTCTGGAAACTACCAAACGGATATGAAATACCTGAACTTTAATCTCCAGGGCCCAACTAACACTTGGCCACAGCCTACACATTGAAAAACAAAGGTCTAGGGGACTTCCCTGGTTGTCCAGTAGTTAAGACTCTGCCTTCCAGTGCAGAGGGTGCAGGTTCAATCTCTGGTCGGGGAACTAAGATCCTATATGCCTTGTGACCAAAAAAAAAACCAAAACATAGAACAGAAGCAGTATTGTAGCAAATTCAGTATAGACTTTAAAAATGGTCCATATATTTTAAAAATCTTTGTTTAAAAACCCAATGGCCTATTTTATTGAACGGTAGCAGAAATATAACTTTTAGAAGAAAATATACAATGAAGAGAAATTTTTATTTCAAAAAACTTTCAGAAAAGAAAATGGGACATTAAAATGACAGTTTAATAGCAGGGTTTGAATTATACTCACTGAAGTTAGTGCTTTTCATTAGTTTTCCTTATTCTGGAGAAAGTCACAG